CTGCATATGTATTGTTGTCAAGCATTTATACAGCTTTGGGAAGATTGGATGATGTGAAACGAGTAAGAAGGATAATGAACCTTAGGGGGATAAGCAAGGAGCCAGGATGTAGCTGGATAGAGCTGAAGAATCGGGTTCAAGTTTTTGTGGTTGGGGACCAATTACATCCGCAAATTCAAGATGTACGCTATGGGTTATGGAGGTTAAGCAAGCTAATGAAGGATGAAGAATGTGGTCAATTTTGGAAGAATTGGGTCTGAAGTAATGAAGTAATTATGTCTTGGCTCAGCTACACCCAAGGGAAGTCATATGAGACTCCTGAATATGCAGCTTCATTTTCATACATTGAGCATTTACTGCATAAGGTGCTTGAAACTGGAAAAAGGGATTTCTTAGATGCTGCTGGGATGATGGGGAAACAGAAATGAAAGGAATGTTGAGGTGATGATGTGGATTACAATGCTTTAACACAGACACTAGGCAATTTTTTGTTTCCAAATTTCTAGTAATTTCTCCCAACCGATAAATTTTCAAACTCCATTTTTCTACATCTTTCATTCGCTTCTTTAACTACTTCCTACCATGAGTGTTCTCAATTATGCATCAGTACCACCATCCACTTCCTTCAGTTCCAAATCCGCCAGTTTTGTACCGGGTGGTCGCCGGTTCGGCAAATTCCTCTTCTTCGACACCGGAAAATCCTCCCAGTCAGTTGCTCTTTCATCTCCCCAGTTGTCCTATTATTCCACTGAGTCAGCTGCCGCGTTGCTGAATAAAAACAAAGATAATGGTGGGTGCTGTCACGGAGCAGGATGCAACTACTCTGGTGAGAATAATGGCTCTTGTGGGTGAAGGTAGCGTCAGTCCGCTCAATTTCGCGCCTTGGACTGAAGTCACGCGCCACACAGTGAGTATTGTGTATTATCTTGGTTACATTATATTTTCTGTATATTTAATTTGGTATTTGGTATGCGAGAAGCAAATTGTAGGCGTGCTTTAACTTTGAAGAATACTGCTAAGGCTGATTAGGGACGACAATTTCTGTAGGGGCTTTCAAATCAAAACTTGCAGCTTAGTAAAAAGAAGTCGTATAATTAAATTTTTTGCTTTCTGGATTTCCTTAATGGTGTTCCAAATTTGAAGCGTATAAGATATTGATATAAACAGTTTATTAATGGTCTATTAGCGTTGCAACGATATATAATTCAAAGTCAAGTCAAGGAAGTGTCTCAATAACCACCCACTAAAATAGGTACTTGAATAATGATATTCATCATCTCCGCTTACCCATAAGTAGTGGCATTTAGACGACTTTAATTGACTTTCCATCTTAATTGACATCTTAAATGTATGATTTAAGATTACAAATCAATTATTGTCACATCACCGATGATCGGTAAGCACCGCTTATGAATAGAAATACTCTTTATAAACTTTGAAATCCAGATTGATATTGTTTAAAGCTTATTTGTGTATCAATTTTCGTGCGAATTCTCTAGGGTTGTGCCTGGATAAGTGTTGACAGTTGAAGTAGGAGCATAAATCATTCCTCTATCTCTTGACCTTTGATGTTTCAGAATTGAGCTTTCTAGAACAAAAGGATTAAGTTGTATACTTGTACTTTTGGTTACCAAGCACAATTGAATCCAGGGAAGTTGAATGTTTCTAAAGATCTATATTTTCAAGGTTAGGGGAAATATGGCTGACGTATTTCTTTGTACACAGGATTTTTTAGATGGCATGAATGCTGCATCATCGATGTTGCGGAGTTAATACCCAATTAAAGTCCTCCAGTCAGGTTTCCTAATAGAAATAACATCACCTCTTTTGATTGAAGTGGATAGAAACTTTTCCATCTCTCAAAAT